CCCAGCAAACTGCAGGCATTTAATTTGTTCGGATATATACTTTATGAACGATAATATAAACTTAGACGTGATAAAACTATTGTATAAAATGAATATATTTCAAATGAAACCTTGGCATCAATGTTATCCTTTTGACTGTTTATCGCCTGCAAAACAGCCTTGATTGAGTCATTGAGTAGCAGTCGAATGCTACCTAGTTCTTCAAAAATATCTTTCTTAAAAGATCCAAGATCTGAACCAACCTACATATTAAAAAATAGAGAGTTAACGAAATAATTTGCATAACATAAATTAAAGAAACCATCCAAGATTATGTATATATGTTACCTTGTCAATATCTTTTCTTATTTTTTTTTTGTTTCAGAATATCTTTCTTGTCATCTATTTCAATTGCCTGCTTGTGTCCGGATGGAGATGCAGCATCTATCGGATGCTCGGACTTGGTTTTAACTTCTTCAAGGATGTATTCAACTTTATCTGGCAAATTAATTCTTGAAAGCTCTTCTGGTGCTTCAATTATATTGGTGAACTGAGTGAAAAAAAAAATGAGAGTGACTTAGACATAATATTTATAAAAGTTGTAGATAATTTGTATTAGATTGTCTGCGCATAAGTGAAAATCATTTACCTTGATCCATGTTGGTTTGATCATTCTATCTTCAATTGCAGATAACCATATCTTGTCCTTACTAGCTGACCAGCTAAGTATGCGAGGGATAGAATTAGCAACCCTTGTAGCTATATCAGTGTTGACGGTAGAGCAATACTCATACAATCATATTTGCATAGCTAGTGCAAAGCCTCGAATGACATAAAAATGAACAGAAGGGTTGAGTTTGTGCCTAACAGATGAAGCAATTGTTTATAAGATTCATTACCCCATGCGTAGTTCGCATACTATCCTGAGTCCACCAAATAGAACCTAAAATGGTCTATCAACCCTGCATTGTCTTTGTCTGAAGGACAGAGGAAGAATTCTATGAGATATAGAATACACAACTTGATTGCATCCTCGTCGTTCACCCAACTACGGCTGGTTACAATTTGTTTTAAGTATGACTTCTCAACTTTTTCCTTGTTTGGAAAATAGCTTCTCATTATTTTACTGTCATATGTAGGTGTGTAACCAAAGTCTGTCACTTCCGTAAAATATCTCAGGCCACTAATCAGGGTAAACTCTCTCAAACCAAAATTCAGCCTCTGACCCTTTATCTTTGCTGAAAAAAAGTCGGAACCAGATGCATTCAATTCATACTTTATGAGAAGATGAATTGCTTGATTATGCATACATATTCTGGACAAGGAAAGCAAATAACCAAAACATGTCTTCTTAAAAAGTTTTAAACCATTTTCAGACAGTAAATTCTTGATTTGGCCAGGAATAGTAGGGTCGGATAATGTCTGAAACCTAATGATCCCATAATCAACATTAGGAGGAGCAAAAAATAGTCCATTCTGTAGCAAAAGGAAAAGAAAGTTATTAAAACAAGGCTCAAAACTAGAAAGCAAAATAACTACATTTATAATACAATTTATCTACAATCAGATAAACAGAGTCAAAAACAGAAAATAAAATAACTACAATTATATTACAATTTATCTACAATCTTTAAAACGGAGTCAAAACCAGGCAAAACGTTTATATAACAATGTATCTACAATCAGAAATCATAAATCTACACAATATAGACAAATTTTTTACAACTATAAAAACAAAAATTATGTTGATTCATAAGAATGAGAACAAAGTTTTTTAGCTTTAAAAAAAATATATTGTTGAAACTACTAAATTTTTACCTTTCCCAAAGACTGTTGGGGAACAGTTTAAGAAGATTTTTGAACTTTCTTATTTTTTGAAGGTTTTACATTAGGAGACACTCTAACATTTTTTGCAACTTTAATGACAGCTTCTTCTTCGACGAAATCATCATCGAAATCAATCTCTTTGCCTTTCCTTTTTGCATATTTGACAGGTATCGATAATTCACCAGCATCAATATCGTGCTTTTATTTTGTACGAGCTTCTGCCCTAACTTCACGAGAGGAAAGCCTGGGCTTGTTCTCTTCTTTTGCATGAGCTGATTTTGAAACCTTTTTGAGTGAATTCTCTGAGAAAATACCCAAATCAAATGTAGGAATATCGGCTCCTTTATCTTTTTTAGGGCTGATCTTTGAAGCTATTTTCTTCTTCATTGAAAATCAAGCAAAGCACAGACGTTAATGGAGGTAATTTTTTGAAAAAGAGAGTAAAAATTTAGAATGCTTTTTGAAGAAGAGAGTAAATAGGCGTTAATGGAGGGATTGTGAAATTTGTGGAGAGAGAATCGTGTTTGAGTACAAGATACGTGGATGAGGGAGGTGGGATGTGGAGAGAGGAACGTGGGGAAGTGGAAGATACGTTAGAGTTATTTTAGGATACTAATTACTATCATTAATTACCTTAAAAATATACTTAAATGATAATTGGGTATATAATATGTAATTATATTAAAACTTAAGTAGGGAGGATAATATAGTTTCATATATTATATAGGAATGTAAAAATTTCTCTTTTAAATACCGCTTGCGAGGCCCTTCCTGTCAATCTCCAATGCTAATTAAGCCTTCTTGTGTTGGCCCAGCAGAAAGGTATAAGGCAAATATTTTAATGCATTTTGCTAGTTTGGAGTAAAGAACAAAGAGTGATTATGTGGGAAATTTTCGTACTTACTTAGGAATTTATAAAATATTTCATAATCTACAACTTGTATTAGAATTATAAATTCTACAATAAAATATAAAAGATACACTCTAAAAATGTGATAGATTCCCTATTAATGAGGAATCCTATTTTGCAATGTATCCTTATTTGTCCCTAAAAATTTTCCAATTTATTAATATTGATTATCACTATAAGCACCCACTTGCCTTAATTATCCGTGTATTATGCATCAATCAAATCATATTCCCTTGTATTATGCATCTATCATATCATATCCTTACCAAAAGAAACATGCCTTTGTTACTTTTAAATTTTTTACAAAATTATTTCTCTCTATTAGAACGGATCGATCCCGTGCTATACACCATCCAAAAATCTCAAAGGATTCTCCAAATTTGATCCTTCTTCACCTCTCTGTCAATGTAAAACCATGTTCCCCCAAGTTCTTTTATAATATAATATTGTATATTTTTTAATATATACATGATATATATTATACTCTATGTAGTATATTTATTAATGATGTTTTTTTTCCAGTTAAGTGCTTGTATATTTTATATTATATATTATATATATATACTGTATATTATATATATATATATATATATATATATATATTATATATGATATAATATATTATTGTATATTTTAATTATATAACATACATTTTGTACAAGAAATATACAATATACTATATATTAATGGAGAAATTTGGGGGAAATTAATATGATAGATACTTTTCGATGAGAAAGAATCTTAAAAGAGAGGTATTAGGATACATTTTAGGTGAGATAATCTCAAGAGAGATATATTAGGAATATGAAAAGTTATAAATTTCAAAATAAATTATATTATATGTAATTTTATCAATGCAGTTATAGGAAACTTCAATAAATGTTAGAAATGTTGTATTCTATGTAAATTCCTCATTATCTTTTGACCCTAAAATTCAATGGCTTAGGTGACAAGTAGTCTGTCTTTTTGAACATATCAACAACTAACATATTAATAATGTAATTGAATCAGCAAACTTATCCGTAATTTTGACCAAACATATTTGTTGGCTACTCCAAGGGTTACTCTTTCCACCAAAGTATGGTGGGTTCTCAACTTTGGAGAATGGAAGGTTTATAAATTACCAAAAAAGAAAAAACAAATGTAAGAGAGGGACATTGGACCTTTTGGTATTAAGAAAAAAAACTTTTCTTGACAAAATAATTTCAAGCNCATTTCCATCCTTACTATGATCGTATTTTATGTTCAAGCAAAACTAATATTTCAAAAAAAAAAAAAAAAAAAAAGAATGGTTACTTAGTAAAGTATTTCTGATTGGAAACGTCTTCAGTCTTATCAAATTGACAAATTATGTTGAACTTGCCAGGGTCTACCACGGATAAATAGTTTACACTGGTTTGGTATTTAAGTTCAAATCATACAATTATGTTGACTACCAGTTGTTTTGTTCAACCACAAAACCTAATTCGTCCATTTGAAGTCTAAAAGATACCCTCCAAGATTTCTCTTTCGGATGCACGTTTTGATCTTGCGTTGCCCTATTTGCACCAAGTTCTAAAAAGGAGACATAGCATAATTTTCTAAGAGGAGTTAGAATACATATATATTGCTCCAACCTAACTTAAATTCTCGTCTTGGAGTTCAACAAGTAATTTGGATGATATTTATAATATGGTTGGTCATTATACTCTTCCCCTTGCCCCTCCCCTTCCTGAGCCGATGGTCTATCGGAAGCAGCTTCTCTGTCTCCTTAAAGGTAAGGCCCCTCCCCTTCCTGAGCTGAGGGTCTATCGAAAACAGCTTCTCTGTCTCCTTGAAGGTAAGGGTAAGATTTGCGTACACTCTATCCTCCCTAGACCCCACTGGGTATATTGTTGTGTTATACTCTTCCCCTTTAACAAATTCGGTCCCGGAATTCACGTACCTAAATATTCAAAGTGGTCTGTAAAGGAGCGATAATGTGTATTTGACCATTTCATTAACATTAAATAATTCAATCGGAATATAAGGATCTCCCTTTAGATTCCGCGAAGAGTCAAAGTACATAAGTCATGGAGTTGGTTTGCGAAGCAAAAAAATTTGGATTTGGTAGTACTCTGCAGATGACTTAAGAGCATGATAAGCTGCATCATCAAAGAACAAAATTGATAATACTTGAGCAAGCACAAGTAACAAGACTCGTCCAAATTGTATGCACCAAACATTAGGGTTGAAACAAGTTTAGAGTTTATTTGTTTAACAATGTCTGACTTTCCTAAAAAGAATCACAGTAAAAGATGAAAACTTCACAGGAACAAAAACGGTGCTAAGCATTATCAAAATAATCTAACTTTACTATCTATCTTGAGGCTGTGATTACAAACAATGTATTGTACGTTTTGCCTCTCTATGAACATAGAATCATAAACAAAAACTCAAGGACAATAGTGATCCACACAACACTTCCATATTCTGTTACAGAAAAAAAAAAGATGAAACTAAAGAATAATCTGAATGGATTGTGGAGGAGCTAATTGGACTATGCCTGTTAGAAAAATCAAGGGAACTGGAATGACCCTCCAATTTCAGTGCTACCAGCAGGGGGGTTGATTGCAACCCAAAGGAGCGAAATAGTGATGGCAATAAGTCCTGACCAGACAAATACAATAGTTGGCGTCCTTCCACGCCTTCCCATCAATCCCTTTGAAAAAGGATAGAGATGAGCTAGCACCCAGAAACTGAAGAAAACCCCTCCTAGCAAACGGCTCCATTGTGGTATCGTGCTATATATTGTCCGGCTAAAACCAACAGCTATTGCGATCAAGTTAGTAATCATGATCGTAATAGGTGGGACCATCAGGGAAGTCCATTTGATAATATAGAGGTCAGCAAATTCATCATCATCATCAGCGGATGATTTTGATGTCAGTGTAAATGAAATCTCAATGCCAGCAATCACTTTTAGAAGCCCCTGAAGCACAGCAGCAAGATGGGCACTAGTGCCACCAATCAACCAAAATTGCTCATTACGCCACCACTCTTCCAAAGCAATGCCAGACCACTTGATCTCAAGCACCGCGAGCGCGCAAAGAGTCAATGTGATCACGAGAAGATATGTGAGGAAGGTGACATTCAGGGTCTGGACGATGAACTGACCAGAGAAAAGCGAAAGTGCTGGGAGGAAGCAGTAAACAATTAGGAATATTGAGGTGAAGGGGTAGATGCCACAGTTGAGGTAGGCAATCCGCTGCAAAATTTTCATCTTAGGACTAGCCAAAAAAGCATTGTTGCGAGAGAAGAAGATTTCAACAGAACCAGTGGCCCATCGGAGCACTTGGTGAAGCCTGTCGGTCAGATTGATTGGTGCAGTACCACGGAATGCATCTCGCTTTGTCACACAGTAAATAGATCTCCAACCCCTATTATGCATCCTATACCCCGTCACCACGTCTTCAGTAACAGATCCATAAATCCATCCAACTCTATTACCCCATTCAGTTTTGTCTTCATACCAACACGAAATGACACTGATCGCTTCAGCAACAGTGGAGGCATCAAGAAGTTCCCGTGGAATAGTTAAAGCACCAGGTGGTCGTCCATTCTTTACTGCAGGGTGATCAGCAAGTGGTCTCCCTTGGAATTCGGCGACCGGAATCGAATCAATAAGGAAACTTGAATTACCAAACCTTTTAGGAAACGAAGCAAGATTCATCTCCTCATCATCAAAATCCCCCATTCTAAGTGCCTTGTTGTCATCAGAGACAGAAGACACAGTGGCATTATTCTTGCGCCGACCAAAACAACAGCTGCAGCAACCAGGGTGGTATTCCTTGGTTCGTGGGGGGTCAAAACCATAAAGAGCAGTCCTGCGGAAGAGGCAACCGGTCCCAACATACATTGGACCTTGAAGTCCATCAAGGGCACGCATGTTGACATCAAAGAAAACAGTATTGTGATTTGCATAACGGTCGGAAGGATCAATTCCCTCAAAACGTTGAGGAAACTGAACATAACAGATTCGATCCCCCNGCATCAATGTAACAATCCCGGCAAATTTTAAAATCACACTCACAAGGAAGAATATCTTCACCCCTCTCATCACTCATGACTTTCCCATCACAACCAGGTATAGCACAAGAAGAACCTTTAGCACCAGCCATCTGAGGATGGTTAGTTTCTGACTCAATCACCTTATCCATCAAGTGAGCACGAGTCACACTGTTATAACCTCCGGTAAACAAGGAATTTGACACATACTGCTCTTCAACCCTCTGTGAAATTGAAGGATCCATAGGTTGATTATCAGGGGTTGGAGGGATATGCACTGTGTAGTTTGCAAATTCAATGCCACTAATCTCACTATCCAGGGATTCCCTTGATAAGTTCACATACCGACCCGACGAGGTCCTCCTTGCAAAGGTAACACCAGGAGGCTTACCCTGTTGGGAATCTGAGGCTTTGAAGGATCTTGAAGACATATTGTTAAAGCTAATGCTAAAAGACTACTCAATGACCACCAAACCCTGAAACTGCACAAGGCCAAATAAGTAACCAGAAAAAGATAGTTAACTCTAAGTTAAGAAATCAAGATTAAAAACAGCAGTTCAAAGGATATACAAGCTTTGGATTTCAAAGGACTATACTTCTTTATGCAACAGGAAAATGAAAATCTTTTTGAAGATTCACAGCAAAAAGAAAAGCTGAAAAGTGGAAAAAATACTAAAGATCTTGTGCAGGTCAATGATGCAGAAAAAACCAAAGCATGACCAAAAAACTCCTCTTTCTCTTTTCCCAAAGCCAATTCTCTCTTTATTAGCTAAAAAGCATTAAAGGGGTCACCTTTTTTTAGCAAAAAACACTTGATCATTTTGTTTGAAAAGCATCAAAACAGTTCAAAATAAAACAACAATCACATAACAAGAGATTACCTAAACCCTGATGAGATACAGCAACAACTCAAAAGAATCAAGATTTTCCTACACCATCTCTAGGAAAACCCAAAAAGTAAGTTCAACTACACATCCAGATCCTTCTCTTCAAATAAAACTCTTCCCTACATAAATCTGAACCATAATGATTTTGCACAAGTAGAGAGAGATATATGACATCCACTAGCTTGCCCAATACTTATATAGCAATTACTAATATAAAGATTTTGACAACATTAATTTATAAACACAACGAGAATCAGCCTACTGAAGGCGTGTAAGAAACATTCAATACGTAATACCAATTAAATGTACACACACTCTACTTGCAAACATATACACACTACAAATTACAACTGTAACAAAGCTTTCAAATGGGTCCCGTTCAAAATGTTACAAACAGGACTTAGTCTTCCATTGTCCAATTAAATTATTTACAAATCTTTATTACGTGAGACAAAATACACATTACCCATTTTCCTCCCTCTTTCTTTTGTCACCCCTTTTTAAAAGAACTTTAAAAAATTGAATACTTAGTAATTACATTTTGAGAAAAAAGAAAACATCAGCTACGAAAGATTCAAACTATTTTGTTTTTTATTTTCAAAAAATTAACTAAAAAAAGCTCATTTTCACACCTTCCAATGTTGCAGCTTACAGCAGCCGGCTAAGGTTTTTGGTCTGTATCACAACAAAAAAAAAAAGGACACAAAAGCCCTGATACACACCGAGACCAAATAAATGTGCATATAATTGAGATGTTTAGTAAGAAAAGTAAGAGATCTGAATGAATAAGTTTCCATTTATGGGTAAAAAGTTGAGATATTTGTAAAATTTACCTTATCTCCTCTGCTATAAAGTTTTTACTAGGCGAAGTAAGCAGAGAAGTGTATGTGCATTTGGTAGCTTTGGACTGTTGCTGTTGAAGGTTTGATTTCTTAGTAAGGGCAGTGGGGAAGAAAAGAGTATTTTTTGTGATCAAACACGGAATTTGTGGGGTTTTAAAAGTAATTTGAGGGAATATAGGGGGCGGTCTAAGCACGCTTGATACGCGGTGCAGGTGACTGTTTCCTGTGCGAAAGGGATGTTTTCACAATCTTTACAACCGGTCTTCATTCTTTCTTGCTCGTTTGGCATCCGGGATTATTTTGAGCCAGTATAAAATTGGATACCATTTTATTTTTCATTTGATTACATTATACTAAAATTGAACCGGCTACTTTATAACAAAATTGTAGCATAACACATTCCATAGGAATAACTATTAAGTACAGTATTACGATCATACATTCTAATTCTAGCATAAATTTATTTATAAATTAACGATTTCGTAGGATATAACAATGACAAAGTTGTTAGATAACAAAATCTAACATAAGATATAAAATAGTTGTGCCTCAAATTCAAAGTAACTTAAGTCGGTAAAGGGCAATAACGTAAATAAATAGTGTTTTTCCTAAAAAATTTCTTCTTTTTCCAAAAATATTTTATTACAGTATCAGTTTCTTAAGACCAAAATATTGTGTGAACTTTTCCGAAAACATAGCACGTCCAAACTTTAAACACTACTCCTAAACTTCAAAATTCTCCATTCTTTTGATCAAAGATTGGCTAAAAAGATTGTTGTGGTGGTGCTCAGCTGTAGGTGATAATTCCCTGGTTCATCGTTATTTTAATAGCCCACCGTAACGGTGTACAACAGGCAATAGTTCATACAGACAACATTGAACTATTATGCCTTTCTCTTCGATTTTGTTACCAACTTTATCCACCTTGTTTCGGATAATTACCACAACTACCCCTCGCAAATTTTGAATTTCAAATGAAGAGATACTCGGCCAAAAAGATAATACTACGCGTTTTGACGAAAAGCAAAACAGGAGTATTATCCATTTAACTTATGCCTATTGTAGTATTTGCATACTTAGGAAAATGTCCGGCGCTCCATTACACTACGACCCCGTTTGGATTGGCCGGAAAAAAGTAACTTTTCACTTTTTATGTAATTGAACTTATTTTACAAATAAGCAGTTACGTGTTTGGATAAAAATGCTTAAACTAAAAAAAAAGCTATTGAAATATTTGATAAACAAGTGCTGGTAAGCACTTTTTTTTGTTAAAATGACCGAGATGTCCTAAAGCTGTCAATACTAAAAATAAGTTTATTGATACATTTTTAATTTTAAATTAACTCAAATGCAGATTAATTTGTGTATCAATTCAGTTCAAGTTATAATACTGATTAGATAAGATTATTTTAATTAATATAAAGTACTTATTAGGTAAAGCATTAATTAATAATTGTAATTGAAAAATATACTTAAACTATATAAACAATTCATATAAAATTACCCACAAAGTCAATAAATTAAAGTGAAGTACTTTTAAAAATCAAAAAATCACGTAAAAGTTACTTTCTTGCTTTCTACTTTCATTTTTGATTATGCAAATGAATCAAAAATGGAATATGAACGAGTTAGAAAGCTTTTGAAGTTGAGAAACAAGTATTGCTAATCAGTTTAGAATACTCCTGAGGTTATGATACCAGTTAGGAAGAAATGGGAAGAAAAAGAAACGGGTTAGAGGTTTTAGTAAGAGAGCGTATTTTGGTAATAATAAAAGTATGTAAGGGATAATAGGGTAAATTATTTGGTCAAACTCAAGTAGCTCTTAAGCCCAAAAAAAAAATAAGTTGGGATAGACCAACTTATTGCTTTTGGCTTGTTTTTAGTTTTTTGGCTTAAAAGTAATTGAGTTTTTGTATTTGTCAAACACCAAAATAAGCTAAAAAGTGCTTTTAAGCTGGTTTGACCAACTTTTAAGCCAATCCAAACACCATATATGCTGAATCTTTGCGCCAGTCAGCTTCCAGCTCACCATACTTCTCAAAAAATCAAAGACCCGTTTGACCATAGATTTTGTCAATTTTATTTTTGGCAAATACATGTTTGTTCATAGATTTTATTCATATTTTGGCAAATTTTCAAAACCTAAAATTCAAATCCAAAACCAGCTCCCAAAATATTACTATTACATTTTTTAAAAATTACCTCAAACTTTTATATTTTATAAAAGAGCCCACCATTTATTATTTTGTAACAATGTTGTTTTGTCTTCTCGGTCATTTGATAGTGTATTATGTACTTCATTATAAAAATAATAATTTTGTACCAAATTTATTTCACTACAGGAAAATAGGTCTTTACCGATGGGAAATTCATACAATCGCATAATGATGCACTCATAATATTTGTACTTATAAATAAATCTCGAGTTAAGCGTGTGTTGATTGGTCTAGGTAGCTCGTCCAACATCATCAGATCGAGGGCCGTAAAGCAGTTGGGTCTACAAGACCAAATAGTGCCAGCAATCCGGGTTTTAAAAAGATTCAACATGGCATGAGAAACTACCAAAGGAGAAATAACCTTGCCAGTAAATACCGCCAGGACAATTCAGGATACCCAATTCTACGTGATCGAGGGGGACATGAGGTATAACTCCTTATTCGGAAGGCCTTGGGTTCACAACATGAGGGCGGTACCCTCGACACTACAACATGCACTAAATTTCCCCACACCGGGAGGAATCAAGAAGGTTTACAAAGAGCAGCCGGTCGCAAAAGAAATTTTCACAGTCAATGAGGTGATCTTTATGTCCGCACTCTTAATATCAAAGAACACAGAGCCGGTTAGGAAGGAAGAAACTAAGTAGCAATCATCGATACCGCCCCCGACCGAACCAGTGAAGCAAGGAGCAGGCGAGGATGATGATTATAGAGTCCCTAGGTCGTTCATCGCCCCTGATGATTCCGATGCCACCAAGTCAATGGTCGAGGAGCTGGAGCAAGTCATATGATCTAACACTTGCCTGATCGGAAGGTATACTTGGGCACGAGGTTAATTCCTGAGCTCAGGAAAAAAACTCATTGAATTCCTTATAGCTAACATAGATTGTTTCGCTTGGTCCCATCTTGATACGACAGGGATCCCGCCGGAGATAACCACTCATAAGTTGAGCTTGGATCCGAAGTTCCACCCGGTTAAATAGAAGAGGAGGCCTCAGATCGAAGTCAACCATGCATTTATCAAAGACAAGGTATCTAAAATCTTTAAAATAGGTTCCATTCGGGAAGTTAAGTACCCGGATTGGTTAGCTAACGTAGTGGTAGTGCCTAAAAAGGGAAATAAATTAAGAATGTGCGTAGATTATAAAGACTTGAACAAGGCGTGCCCTAAGGTCTCTTTTCCTTTGCCTAAGATCGATCGCATGATCGATGCGACGGCCGGGCACTAGATACTCAGCTTTCTCGACGCCTATTCCGGGTACAACCAAATCCGGATGGACCCGAGCGATCAAGAAAAAACTTCTTTTATCACTAAATTTGGCACCTATTATTATAACGTAATGTCGTTCGGACTAAGAACGCCGGTGCCACTTATCAACGCCTAGTAAGTCGGATGTTCGAAGAACATATAGGAAAATCAATGGAAGTTATATTAACGACATGTTAGTTAAGTCCCTGCAAGCAGAGGACCATTTGAAACATTTGCAGGAAAACTTTGAAATATTGAAGAGATACAATATGAAGCTGAACCCGGGAAAATGCGCATCCGTGGTCGGATCTGGAAAATTCCTTGGATTCATAGTGTCCAACCGAGGGATTGAGATCAATCCCGATAAAATCAAAGTTATAGAAGACATCACCATGGTAGACAGTGTTAAGGCTGTTCAGAGGCTAACCGGTACATAGCTGCCTTGGGCCGGTTCATATCGGGGTCCTCAGAAAAAAGTCATCGGTTATTCTCATTATTGAAGAAGAAGAATAACTTTTCTTGGACCCCGGAGTGCCAACAAGCTTAGGAAGAACTCAAACAGTACTTTTCGAGTCCACCCTTGCTCCATACTCTGTAAGTGGACGAGCAGTTGTACCTTTACTTGGCGGTATCCGAGGTAGCAGTAAGTGGAGTCCTAGTTCGGGAAGAGGAAGGTACGATATTTCCTATTTACTATGTTAGTAGAACTCTAGGCGAGGCCGAAATAAGGTATCCACACCTGGAAAAACTGGCGCTCGCTTTGTTAAGCGCCTTGAGAAAGTTAAAACTGTATTTTCAATGCCACCCCGTATGTGTCGTAACTGTAAGGCCCCGTAAAATTTCACTTTCAAGTTTTAAAGAATGCAATATGGGGTTGATGGAAATTTTTGACAGGAGAAGGCGATTTTGCGGTCAGTTTCGCGACCGCAGAACCACTCCGTGGGCCACATACCCGTCGTAGAGTTGAGCAGAAAAATGGTTGAATTTTGAAGGTCGTTTTGCGGCCCATTCCGCGATCACATATCTATTTCGCGATCCGTATTTACCATCACAGATTTGGCATGAAGAATTTCGTTAAGTGATTCTATAGTCCACTCTGCGGCCGCATAAGTGGTCTGCGGACTGCAGACCGGTCCAGACCAGCCCAATTCTTGGCATCATTTTTGCGGCCCATATTGCGGGTTGCATATCTGTTATGCGGTCTATTCTGTGACCGCAGACCTGAGTTCGCAGGGTCCATTTTCCTATTTTATA